AGCGTCGGCGTTCACATTTTCGGCTCGTGGTATTTGGAGTATCTCGTAGTTTTTGAACTTAACGAGTTATTTTTTTACCTTTCTCAAGTACGCTCCCATCTTCTCGCCGTGCGCTTGGTATTCTTCCTTTACTTGCGCAATGACCAGTTGAGAATCGCTGAAAATGTTGAGCCTTTCGATCTTCAGGTGGCTGGCTAACCGTAGTCCGGCAATTAATGCTTCATATTCCGCCTCGTTGTTTGACGCCTTGAATTTGAATCGGACCGCCGAGGTAATTTTGTGGCCTTTGGGGCTGATAATAAGATGCCGGCTCCTGACCCATTTTCGCTCGACGCCCCATCCATGTAGAGCTTCTATTTTGTAACCTCGACCTCCTCAGATGCAGCGGGAGCTGGCCTATGAGAGAACTCAGCCAGAAAATCGGCGAGTGCTTAGCCCTTGATCGCAGTTCTTGGCACGTATTTTATGTCGAACTGGCTTAATTCTACCGACCACTTGAGGAGTCGACCGGAAGTTTTGGGCTTTTGTAGAGCCTGTCTTAGCAGGTGGTTGGTGAGAACCCATATTGTGTGAGACTGGAAATAGTACCGAAGCTTCCTTGAAGCTACCATCAGGGCGACGGCTAGGCGCTCCATTTCGCTGTATCTTGACTCGGCGTCACCGAGCCTTTTGCTCACGTAGTAGATCGACAACTGCACCCTTTCTTCTTCTCTTACTAATACGGAGCTTATGGCGTGTTGGGACACGGAGAGGTATAGACTAAGCTCCTCGTCGACATTTGGTTTTGACAAAATTGGGGGCTTGCCCAAGTGCTCCTTCAATTTCTGGAAGGCCTCTTCACATTGGGGTGTCCACTCGAAACGCTTGCTTCCTTTCAAAGCGTCGAAGAAGGGGACGCATTTGTTGGTCGCCTTTGATACGAACCTATTTAGGGCGGCGACACATCCCGTTAATCTTTGCACTTCCTTTGGCTTTGTCGGGGACCACATATCCTGTAGGGCTTTGATTTTCTCGGGGTTAGCTTCAATCCCACGGTTGCTGACCATAAAGCTGAGGAATTTCCCCGACCCAACTCCAAAGGCACACTTCTGGGGATTGAGCTTCATGTGGTATTTTCTCAGCACACCAAACATTTCCCCCAGATGATTGACGTGATGGCTAGCCCTGGAACTTTTTACAAGCATATCATCGACATAGACTTCCATTGTTTTGCTGAGCTGTTGAGCGAACATTTTATTCACAAGCTTCTAATAGGTAACCCCTGCATTTTTTAGGCCGAAGGGCATCACCTTGTAGCAGTAGAGGCCCCTGTCGGTTATGAAGGATGTGTGCTCCTCGTCGGCTGGATGCATGGGGATCTGGTTGTACCCAGAGTAGTGTCCTGTCGTGGCGTCGACCATTTGGTCTATCCGAGGGAGTGGAAAGCCATCCTTTGGGCAGGCTTTGTTGAGGTCGATGAAGTCGACGCATGTCCTCCAATTCCCATTGGGTTTGATCACTAAAACGGGGTTTGATACCCAATGCGGGTAATGGGCCTCCCGGATGAACCTGTTTTTTATTAACTTGTCGACCTCTTCTTTCAGCGCTTCATACCTCTCGGGGTTCATCGGTCAACATTTCTGGCGCTTGGGCGGATATGAGGGGTCCATGTTTAGGGAATGACATATCACCTTGGCGTCGATCCCTTCCATGTCAGAATGATTCCAGGCGAAAACATCTAGGTTCTTCCTGAGGAAGTTTTCGATCTCACCCTTAAGTGATGGGGCTAAGCCCAAGCCCACTTTTAGCACTTTGGTGGACTCGACTTCATCAACTTGGATTTCCACCAACTGCTCGATGGGTTGAGACCATGTGACTTCCTCTGGGATCCTGGGGTCAATATCCTCGATGAGGCCCTAGTGAACCATCCTTGCCTCCTGTCTCCCTGGTTGGCCGTATCCGTGCAGGGCATCAGAGTACGTAACCCTAGCTTCATACTGGTTGCTCTTCATTTTCCCTACGCCATTTGGGGTGGGGAACTTGACCTTTTGGTGGTAGACGGAGGTTATTGCCCTCAATGCCTGGAGGGTTGGTCTCCCGATTACCGCGTTATACTGGGAGCCTCCTTTTATGACCACGAAGTTGGCCATTGTAGTTGCCTACCGAGGTTTTTCTCTGGCGGTTATGGGTAGCCAGATAGTCCCTTGTGGGATGACGGAGTCCCCAGTGAAACCATATAGCAGTCGGGAGGTTTTTTCCAATTGTTCCTTTTGGATCCCCATTTTCTCCAAGCAGTCAGAGTATAGGAGGTCCACCGAGCTCCCATTGTCCACCAGGATCTTGCACACGGTGTGGTTTCCTATCATGGCTTCCACCACCAAGGCGTCGTTATGGGGGAAGTGAACCCCACTGGCGTCATCCTCATTAAAGGCCACGTCGGTGTGACTGTACCTTGGGGTTTTTGCAGCGGAGACGCTCCATAATCGCTCCTGATAAACCCCCTGGCCTCGTGGGCGTAGTCCTTCTGAGACCTCCTTGAGTCTCCTCCTATATAAGGACCACCGAGGACAGTCCGTATGACGCCGACGGGTTCTCGGTCTTCTGGGCGCTGGTTATCCTCTCGACGCCGACCGTCATTTTGCCCTCCGCGCCCGTCATTTCAGGGTCTCCGCTCGGCCCTGAACTTTTGTAACCTTCCCTCATGGATCACTCTTTTGATCTCATCCTTGAGGTCGGCGCAATCGTTGGTGTGGTGTCCGACATCGCCGTGGAACCTACAGAATTTCTTCTGGTTCCTTCGGCTGGGGTCTGACTTCATTGGATCTGATCGGCGTAGCAAGTTCCTGCGGCCGACCTGATTGAAGACCTCCTCGACTCCTACCGTTAGCTCGTGGTAGGAATCATATTTTTGGAACAGTCGAGGCTTACGGGTATCCTCGTGCCTCAGCTTCTTGGCTTCTGGAGCGCTCATCGTCACGGCGGGCTGCTTGTCTCTGTTTCGCAGGCGTCGACCCTTGCTCGGTTCCTTTATTCTTGTTGGTCCGGTGCTCGGGGTCATTTGTGTCCGCCTCTTCAGCATTGATGTACCCCTGTGCTCGCGCTAAAAACTCCTTGTAGCTGGACAGAGGTTTCTGGTTCAGCTCTCTTTTGAATGGGGTAATTTTCTTCATGCTAGATAAGGCCCCCATCAAGGCCTCTCTATCTGTTATGTCCATCGTGGTGGCGACAGCTTCCCCATACCTCACGAGCCATTCTTTTAGTGACTCGTTCGGCTACTGGTATATCATCGTTAGATTCTGCTTTGGGGGGACGTATTTTTTGACCCCTATGAATTGGAGGGAAAATGCTTCCTTCAGCTCGTCCCAGCTTGAGATGGAGTTTGGCCTCAACGTCCGGAACCATCTTCGGGTAGAATCCGTCAAATGGTTTCGAAAGGCTCGACACATGATCTCCTCGGTGTAACCGTGTAAGAGCATGTGCCCCGTGTACATTTCCAAATGGTCATCGGGATCTCCTCGCCCGTCATACGGTGGGATTGACGGCGACCTGTATTTATCGGGAAGAGGGGGCGCCATTATTTCTTCGGTAAATGGATGGTCATGTGTGCAGCTGGGCGTGATATCGACGTTTACCACCTCAGCCACACGACCTATATTCTTTTTTAGTCCCGCCACGTCCCCTGTCAGTTTTTGCTCTAGGCTGGCCATACGTTCCATGATGGCGCGTGCTTCTTCTGTCGAAATGGCCGAGCCGGCTACTCTCGACGCTTCTGCTCTCTGAGCGTTGGGTCCGCCTCGGGATAGCACCTTGGAGTTTCCTGGACCTCTCGGTACCCGGTCCTCGGGAGCTCGGAGTCCGGCCGCCCCAAACGGCTGGCGGGGGATTGGGAAGGCCGAGGCCTAGGAGGGCCCCGGTGATTCTCACTATCTCCGGTTCCTTCTTGGATATGTGGGTGGTCACCGTAGTTCGGATCTCCAGCCACAGCAAGTCCCTGCGGCCTCGGGGCGTCTTCTAATGGCGGCATGGAGTTTCTTCCATCTAAGCGCTCCACCACAGTCATTAGCCCACATACCAGCGCGGTTAGAGTGGTTAGTTGGGCCTGCATTTGCATCGGGTCCGGCCATGGTGCGTCTGGAAGTGGGACTTCATTTTCGACCGGTCATAGATCTTCTTCCATCCTGATATTCCCTGGATGGATGGCGATTTATAACTATGTTGTTGGGGGTCAAACGCTTTCGCTCCCCAGCGGAGTCGCCAATTGTTGACGGTCAATTTTTGCCAACAAAAAACCGGCTGGGATACCTCTTAGTTTTCCTTTGGATTACCGGCCGTGGGTGTATTAAACGTGTGTGGATTTGTTGAACATGTGTGTTTGTGTGTTAACTAAATCATACATGGACAAATGACACAAGGAATTTTTATAGTGGTTCACTCTATAAAACGAGAGCTACATCCACTGTGACTTTGTATTTATGTTTAGAAGGTAACATTTTACAGCCATTGCTCTTCTTTCTGGTTATTTTTCGAACCCCTTCCTTACTGGGGTCTTTCTCTTTTTATACTGGGCTTCCTTCGCTTAGGGGGTTTCCTTCATAGGTAGAAGCACTCAAGTGCTCTCTTTTGGTAGGCCTAGACGTAATCCACCAATCAGCACTGTTCACTTAGCCAATTAGTCTCCTATTACGGCTCTGTGCTTCTCCGTAATACTTTTATGTCCCTTATGTGGGGCGGTTTGAGAGCTTGCAATTAATGCCTGCAGACGTCTTCCACTTAAGTACGCAACCCGTCATGTCTTCTAAAGAACGTTCCCCTCGTTGTCAGCGCAGCTTGGCCCAATCGTCCACTTTGGATCCTTCCTGTGGCCGAGGGATCTTCATGCCTACGACGCGATCTGTCGACGCCATAAGGGATCATCGTCCTAATTTGGGCTTCGCGCTGTCCAGCAGAATAGGAGGGGTCTGTAGACGTCGAGGCCTTTCTGATTGGTGGGGAGTGGTCAGGGCCACGTGTCGCATTATTATCCGTCCACGCGTCCGTCACATTTTCCCACACAACAGGCCATACCCTAATTGACGTGCAAAAAGGTGAGCTAATCATGCGAGTGCAGGATGAGCAGGTTACATTTAATGTATTTACGGCAATGGAGTTTCCAACTAAGGTGGAGGAATGTTCTGCAATATCAGTCATTAACTTTTTGGTGGCTAAAGAGCTTGAGAGTAGCAGCCATTTAGACTTGTTGTAGCTATCCTCGTCATTAGATTTGGACGAGCCTGAAGATGAACCCATGGAGCAGTTAGCTTGGTTAGGTGCCAAAACAACACTCCAAGGACCTATAGGGAAATTTTAGGTGCAAGAGTCGTCAGAGGAGGATGAAAGAAAACAAGAAATCATTGACTTGAGCTCGTCAATTGTTCTAACATCCATACCGCCATCCGAACCATTTTGGCCATCATCATCACCGCCACCATACTGCATTCTTTATGAGCCCGAACCAAAAATGAAGTTCTCCAATCAAGCCCATCACCTTCCGAAGCCAAATCTTGTTGATGCAACGTGCCTAAATTGTAAAAATCATGCCAAGCTTGAGGGCATCGCAATCAAAGACCCATTTGTAGTGTTGTATGACACTTACTGTGGGCGGGTGCCACTCTTGAATGAGCGCCTCCCTAAACGTTCGGTTGAAGATGTTAAAGCAAGCGCTCTGTGAGAGACAACCCAAGTTTTCTAAACCTTTTCTTGTTTTCCTTCCTTTCAAGTTTTAGTTTTTATTTTTTTTTAGAACTTTTTACTTTGTTTTAGTGTGTCTCTTTTATAGGTGCAATCGTTGAAGCTTCAGGAATGGATTCAATTCAAGAGAGCGAGCAAGCATTGAAGCCTAAGCTCCAAATTAACATAGGGGAGTTTCTTAAACCTTTTCTTGTGTTCTTGATTGCCTACACATTGAGAATATTGTGCTTGATAAGTTTGGGGGGAGAACTTTGGTTGTCTTTGTATATATCTTTGTTTGTTTTTGCATTTTTTTTTTTAAAAAAAAAAAATTAGAGTCTTGTGTTTTCTTGATGTTTGATGTGCTTTGTGGCATTTTCTCTTGAACCTATGATGAATACTGATAAGGTTAGGTGCAGCCTTTAGAAAAAGTTGATATCACCTTGTGTTGATTTTTGAGTCTTTTGATTGCTTATCTCTTGGCTTGTGATTTTTCTTCCCATTATGCATGCTACCTTGTGTTATTGATTCGGTGCTTACCTAGGGTAAGATCTTGTGCATGTACTTCATTTTCATATAAACCATTTATAAGCTCTAGAACTTGCTTGATGAACTCTTGAGGTGAAATCTCAAATTAACACTTTACCAAGAAAATGATTTAGGCTATCTTTGGACCATTTGAGCTTTGTGGCCGACCTTAATTCAACATATCTTTAGCATACCCCACTGAGCTTATATATCCCCTTTTCCTTGTAACCCTTATCTTTGGCCTAGTTGTTGCAATAACATTCCCACCTTCTACCCATCATCCTTATGCATGTCAACATTCTAGGATTCATATAAAATGTGCGCGTGGGAGGTAGGGTGGCGGTTGAATGAAGTTTTTTTGTTGTTGCTCTTTTCTTGCTCCTCTTGCACCATTGAGGACAATGTTGATTTTGAGTTTGGGGGCAGAGGGCACTTGAGCTCTTAATGTCTAGTATGTATTCCTGTTCAAAAAAAAAAAAAAAAAACTTTGGAATGCTTAGTAACTAGGATTGAGCATGAGCCCCAAGTTCACTTTTGTGTCAAACAGTAGACCAAGGCAAGAGCAAGCAAAAGAAAAAGAGAGAGAAAAGCGCCTTGATTTGTAACTTGTTGAGTAACCGGGTGACTTCATCACCAATGTTGGCATTCGCATAAAAAGGCAAGTTGGCAATTCTTGGTAGTTCATAAAAAAAAAAGGTATAATGAAAGGGTATTTAGAAATAAAAGCAAATATAGTGGACAAGGGAAAGCAAAACTTGAGTTTGGGGGAGTTACTTGGGAATGCTATTTGAGCTTCTTGAGGTCCTAGAATTATTGATGTGCTTTAAGGGGTGAATTGAGCCAAACCATCATCTCATGTTCTACCTTCATCCGAGCCGATCATTGCAAGCCTAAAAATTCCTATTGATCCTTGGTGGTGTGTTGATTTAAATTAGTGGAGAGAGTTGAGAAAAGCAAGCTTATGGGGTTTAAACCTATAATAAGAAGAACTTGATGTAGAACACATGCGCATGGCCCCAACTAGTTTGACATTGATGATTTGGCACTTGGTTGTTCACACACACACAAGAAAGGTCCAAGTAGAGACGAAGCAATCTCTTGAATTTGAGATCAGCACTTGGCTGGAAATCATGTTTTTCTTTAGGCTGTACTTCTAACCCGTTTAGTAAGGACACAAAAATCTCTTGAGAATTCATCCACAAAGTATGCATTAGCTTTTTCTATTTTAGCTCATTCTTCTTGTCTTATTGTCACTTTTGTTTTGCTCAAGGACAAGCAACATTCTAAGTTTGGGGGTGTGATAACTCTAAGAAATTAGAGTTATCCAATGGTTTTATAGCTCAAAATTGCGTGACCAAGAGTGATTTTTCTAGTTTATTGTGTGTTTTAATTTAGATTTGTATAGTTTACACTTACTTTGGCTTAATTCCGTACTAGTGCTCCTCTTGAAGTGAAAGTTGATGATTTTTTGAAGTAAAATGAGGTGAAAAATCGACTAAGGCTGTGTGCACACTTTGCAGGAAATTTCTGAGCTAAATACTGCGGCATTCTGGCAACATTCTGGGAACAGCTGGCATATGACTGACATCAGTGCACTAGCTGGAGAAAACAGACAAAAAGGAATCCGTGTGAGCTAGCTGAGCATGTGTCATTATGGTCCACTGTGCACATCATCAAGTGACACCTCAGCCCTTGTGTTGCCCTAGAAGGGAATATTTTCTTAAGACAAAGGGGCAGCCGCTAGGAAAAAGAGAGGAGAGAGATGAGGCTGAAAAATAAAAGAAAGACAAAGAGCATTCCCTACAGAGATATACACAGAGCATCCCTCTCCAGAAAACACACAGTGTATTACCCAGAGAGGAAAAGGCTTAGTATGAGAGCTGAGGAATAGAGGAAATACAGAGAGTACCCAGCCCCAGAAACAGATTCAGAAACATGAGAAGAAGGGAAGAAGGCAGGAGGTTGAAGGACATTTTGGCTGGACAAAGAGGAATCCAAGATCCAGCTGAAATTCATTCTTCTTCTGTTAGCTTAACTCGCTTTTGTTATTTAGCTACTAATTTAGCTATGGATTATGCTAGAGCTTTGAATCTCGTAAATCTTGTTATGAACTAATTTGCTTTAGCTAGGTTTGCTAATGGAACCAAGATTGTAAGAATGACAAGTTGTTTATGAGATGCTATTAATTTACTATTCCTGTTCATTCATGTGACCTAATATCTATTTCTATTCTTGACTGGCCATCAATTTTAGGATACAACATTAAGATTAATACTGGAAGGGTTAGTTTTAATCGGATTAGCATGAATGATGTTTGTTCAATAAACTTGATGAGTTGTTGATTAGTGGATGGTATAGGAATATATTATTCACCTTGCATAACTTATTGAAACCTGAGCTTAAATCTGCATTCCGAGAGCTGGATTCACATAGGAATATGTTAGAAATGGCTTGAGGAACCTTAGTCATAATTAATTCGGAAGAACTTTATGCAATCAAGGAGTTTCTGTGACAGGGAGAGTAAAATGATGCAGCATTCTAGGTAACATTTGAGTCAAACTTGCAATTGAGGGGAAGTTAGCAGACCTATCTCATTTTCACCACTGCATTACAGCCCATCATTACGTTCTTGTTACTGTTAGCCATTTAGATTACACTTCGTTTGCATCCATTTTATTTACATCATTTTAGTGAATTTGTGCCACATTCATTCATTACTTGTTCTGTTGAATATACAACCCCCATCACATATTTTTGGTGATTCAATCTTCGTGGGATCGACACTCTTATTCACTGTTTATTACTTGTCTGCGACACGTGCACTTGCGAGCATAAATACCATGCAACAAGTTTTTGGCGCCGTTGCCGGGGATTGAAATCATTAAAAAATTTGTTGGAGTCAATTTGTTTTTCGTTTGTTTATTTTAATCTCATTCGTTTGGTTCTTAATTTCTCAGGTTATTATACCATTTGCATGAATCCACTACAAGACTTGGAGTTGCTGCCTTTAGATCCTGAAATTGGAAGAACATTTCGAGCCGGGAGAAGGGAACAACAAGGCTTAGCAGGAGTGGGAGAAATTGTAGAAGGGGCAGCAGGAAACAATGGGCAGCAAGCAAATGCCAACATCCCTGTCCCCTAACCGATACTAATAGATGACAGAAACAAGGCCATTAAAGATTACGCTGTGCCCATTTTACATGGACTTAACCCCGGAATAGTGAGGCCAGTGATTTAGGCGCCTCATTTTGAGCTTAAGCCAGTAATGTTCCAAATGCTCCAAACCGTGGGCCAATTCAGTGGCATAGGAACAGAAGATCCTCACCTCCATCTTACACAATTTATGGAGGTGAGTGATACTTTCAAGATAACAGGGGTGACTGAAGATGCATTGAGGTTAAAGTTATTCCCTTATTCTTTAAGGGATAGAGCTCGGGTATGGCTAAATTCTTTGCCTCCAGATTCGGTGGTAACATGGGATGATTTGGCAGAGAAGTTTCTCATGAAATACTTCCCTCCAACCAAGAATGCCAAGCTAAGAAATGACATTACCTCCTTCCAACAAGCAGATGGGGAGTCATTGTATGAAGCATGGGAAAGATTCAAGGAGCTATTGGGGAAGTGCCCTCAACATGGGATCCCCCATTGGATTCAAATAGAGACATTTTATAATGGTCTCAATGGGCAAACAAGGACTATAGTTGATGCCGCAGCTCGTGGAGTCATTTTGGCCAAATCTTACAATGAAGCATATGAAATTTTGGAGAGGATGACCAACAGCAATTATCAATGGCCAACCGAGAGACTTAATGCGAGGAAGGCTTCTGGTATTCATGAAGTTGATGCCATCACTGCATTCTCAGCTCAAATGTCATCCTTGACGAATATGGTAAAAGCATTGCACATGCTGGCAGGGGTAAATGTTGTGCAAACTGCTGGATTCTCTTGTGTTTACTGTGGAGAGGGCCACTTGTATGAAGATTGCCCATCCAACCCAGCCTCCGCTTACTATGTTGCTAATTTCAACAGGAGCAGCAATCCTTATTCGAATCCTCACCACCAAGGGTTGAGCCAACATCCAAATATGGCTTGGAGTAACCAAGGAGCGGGTTCTAGTGGAGCTAACGCTTATTATAGACCCACATATCCACCCGGTTATTCACATCAACAACAAAGAATACAAGCAGATCAATCTAGCTCTTTAGAGAGTTTGCTAAAGGAATTTATAGCAAGGAGTGAAGCCAAAATCCAAAGTCATGATGCAACACTGAGGAATTTAGAAAATCAAATGGAGCAGCTTGCTAACTCTTTGAACAACCGACCTCAAGGCTCTCTCCCAAGCAACACCGAAGATCCACGTAGAGAAGGGAAAGAACACTGCAAGGCTATTTCACTAAGGAGTGGAAAGGAGTTGGACCCAAGGACAAGACCTCAGGCTGTACAAACAGAGCCCACTTCAATCCAAGAGGAAGAGCAGCAAACTCAGCCACAAGAAGAACAACGAAGGAAGCAACAGCCAAATTCTGACGTCCAGAATGCTGCATCATTTCCACAGCATTCTGGAGTGGCAGACACCAGTAACAGCAGTAGCAACCGACCACCTCCACCATTCCCACGGCGTTTTCAGAGACAACAACAAGATGGGCAGTTTCATAAGTTTTTGGATGTTTTGAAGCAGCTACACATCAACATACCATTAGTTGAGGCCCTAGAAAAGATGCCAAACTACACCAAGTTCGTGAAAGAGTTGGTCACTAAAAAATGCCGGTTTGGAGAATTTGAAATGGTGGCTTTGACAGAGGAATGCAGCGCCATATTGCAAAATAAGCTCCCTCCCAAGCTGAAGGATCCTGGAAGCTTCACTATCCCGTGTTCAATTGGAAACTAATATTTTGGTAAGGCTTTATGTGATTTGGGAGCTAGTATAAATTTGATGCTGATGTCTATTTTTAAGAAGTTGGGAATCGGGGAAGCATGGCCTACCACAGTGTCTTTGCAGCTCGCAGACATATCTATTGCACTTCCTGAAGGAAAAATTGAGGATGTACTAGTAAAGGTAGACAAGTTCATTGTACTAGTAAAGGTGGACAAGTTCATTTTTCCTGCTGACTTCATCATTCTTGACTATGAAGCGGATAGAGAAGTGCCAATCATTTTGGGAAGGTCGTTTCTTGCTACAGGCCACACCCTAATTGATGTGCAAAAAGGTGAGCTAACCATGTGAGTGCAGGATGAGCAGGTGACATTTAATGTATTTAAGGCAATGGAGTTTCCAACTGAGGTGGAGGAATGTTCTGCAATATCAGTCATTAACTCTTTGGTGGCTAAAGTGCTTGCGAGTAGCAGCCATTCGGACTTGTTGCAGCTATCCTCGTCATTAGATTTAGACGAGGCTGAAGATGAACCTATAGAGCAGTTAGCTTGGTTAGGTACCAAAACAACAGCACAAGGACCTATAAGGAAATTTGAGGCGCAAGAGTCGTCAGAGGAGGATGAAAGAAAACAAGAAATCATTGACTTGAGCTCATCAATCGTTCTAACATCCATACCGCCATCCGACCCATTTTGGCCATCATCATCACCGCCACCATATTGCATTCTTTATGAGCCCAAACCAAAATGAAGTTCTCCAATCAAGCCCATCACCTTCTGAAGCCAAATCTTGTTGATGCAACATGCCTAAATTGTAAAAATCATGCCAAGCTTGAGGGCATCGCAATCAAAGACCCATTTGTAGTGTTGTATGAAACTTACTATGGGCGGGTGCCACGCTTTAATGAGCGCCTCTCTAAATGTCCGGTTGAAGATGTTAAAGCAAGCGCTCCGTGGGAGACAACCCAAGTTTTCTAAACCTTTTCTTGTTTTCCTTCCTTTCAAGTTTTAGTTTTTATTTTTTTTTAGAACTTTTTACTTTGTTTTAGTGTTTCTCTTTTGTAGGTGCAATCGTTGAAGCTTCAGGAATGGATTCAATTCAGGAAAGCGAGCAAGCATTGAAGCTTAAGCTCCAAATTAACATAGGGGAGTTTCTTAAACCTTTTCTTGTGTTCTTGATTGCCTACACATTGAGGATATTGTGCTTGATAAGTTTGGGGGGAGAACTTTGGTTGTCTTTGTATATATCTTTGTTTGTTTTTGCATTTTTTTTTCTAAAAAAAAAAAAAGTTAGAGTCTTGTGTTTTCTTGATGTTTGATATGCTTTGTGGCGTTTTCTCTTGAACCTTTGATGAATACTAATAAGGTTAGGTGCAGCCTTTAGAAAAAGTTGATATCACCTTGTGTTGATTTTTGAGTCTTTTGATTGCTTATCTCTTGGCTTGTGATTTTTCTTCCCATTATGCACGCTACCTTGTGTTATTGATTCGGTGCTTACCTAGGGTAAGATCTTGTGCATGTGCTTCATTTTCATATAAACCATTTATAAGCTCTAGAACTTACTTGATGAACTCTTGAGGCGAAATCTCAAATTAACACTTTACCAAGAAAATGATTTAGGCTATCTTTAGACCGTTTGAGCTTTGTGGCCGACCTTAATTCAACATATCCTTAGCATACCCCGTTGAGCTTATATATCCCCTTTTCCTTGTAACCCTTATCTTTAGTCTTGTTGTTGCAATAACATTCCCACCTTCTACCCATCATCCCTATGCATGTCAACATTCTAGGATTCATATAAAATGTGCGTGTGGGAGGTAGGGTGGCGGTTGAATGAAGTTTTTTTTTTTTTGTTGTTGCTCTTTTCTTACTTGATGATGTTTGTTGTGAAAGTGTTTTGTAAGGAATATTTGTACTCGATGAGCTTCGGCTCACAAGTTTATTCATGCTGCAAGTAAACAGCCTACGACTCAGTGATGGGCTTCGCAATGAAGGACACGTACAGTGGAGGGATTGGGTAATGGATACCACCATGCAATTAAATTATGCATAAAAGAAGAAGGTTTAAAGTTATGGTTAAGGCATGCATTCTAAAAGAGAATTGTAATCATTAATTCAAATTTCAAATTAATTCAAGTTTATTTTACGAAAGTTAAAGAATAAAGTTTCGTTGAATACTCATTTAGTTTTGCTGAGTAAGGATATTTTAAAAAGGAAAGTTGTAATTATTAATTCGAATTCGTAATTAAAATTCATTTGAGTAAACTTTTCAAAGGTTAAAAGATTGTTTTACGTTTGGTCAGTTTTGTACCAATGACCATTTTAAAAAGTGTTGAAAATAAATTCAAAGTCTTTATAAATATAAAGAATGGCAAGACTTAAACTATGTTCAAAATAAAAAAAAAAAAATTACCCGTAATTTTAGTAACTAAGTAAATTGACTTTTAAGATGTATTAAGAAGTTAATATTGTTTTCCGCTTTAAGTCATGATTTGTAACGGTTCAAGAATTCGGGTTGTTATAGTTTGTATCAGAGAGGTAGCCTTCTATCCTGCCTCCCTACCCGTCACTTCTGCACAAGTCCAAGTTAGTTTCTCTTATAAGTTAATGTTTAAAGTTTTGAAGTATATCTCGAAAACCACGAATGCGATGGTTCAACTGCCCGTTCGTCTTGGGGAAAAAGGTACCGTTCGACTCTAAGGAGGCGATGCTATTATTATTACAAATATCAAGAAAACAGTAACGCCATATTCAGAAAAAATCAATTTCTAATAATTATTGACCTTGAAGCAACGTGTAGGCGCACCCTTAGCAGGGCCTATGGAGTGACTCCAGGTGGATGGAATGAGGAAATTCTCGACACCGCCCCTTTACGCCATCATGCGGACCAGACACCCCGTTTCCCCAGGCACTGTTGGAACCGCGATCGAGTTTACGAGTTCTTTTGTCGAATCCTAAGATGGCCCGACAATGAAAGGAACCAAGGATGGTGTATCGCGAATGTTTAAGGAACGAATTGCTTCTACAATGTCCACCTGGGAGCAGCGCTTTCCTCAATAAGGCCTTCGATTTTAGACTATCGAGGGAGCCAATAATTTAGAGCAGTCGAAGCCTGCCACATTTACAGCTTCTCAACCAAGGCCAGATCGCTCGTATGTAACGCCTCCTAAGATCGTTAGAAATAAAGGCAACGCTTAGAGGGATTCATAGTTAGGAGACCACTTTAATGGTAGTTATTGTATCCTAATCTATTTAGGATTTAGATGACTAAGGTGTTTGCAGTACTTATATAAAATGTACTCTAGTGATGTAAAAGTATTTGAGGGTGGTTAATGACATCCCAAAGTGACCTATTGTTAGAGAGATTGTAATATATCTCTCAATCTTGATATCACAAAATTAGATTAAAACACATTCGGGAAGAGTAGGCTGGCGCAAGCACGCACTGCAGCGCGAAAGAGTGCGCGCTGCAGCGCGTTTGGGCGCTGCAGCCTGCGCAAAACAGACCCTCGGGTCTGTTTTGCTAGGCACGCGCACTGCAGCGCACAGCAGCGTGCGCTGCAGCGTGCGTTTGGGCGCTGCAGCCTGCACAAAACAGACCCTCGGGTCTGTTTTGCTAGGCACGCGAGCTGCAGCGCACGGGCGCGCTGCAGCGCGCGTTTGGGCGCTGCAGCCTGCACAAAACAGACCCTCGGGTCTGTTTTACTAGGCACGCGAGCTGCAGCGCACAGCAGCATGCGCTGCAGCGCACAGGCGCGCTGCAGCGCGCGTTTGAGCGCTGCAGCGTAAATCTTCGACGGAAAATGTGTTTGTGAGTTTTTGTGATCTGAAAAGGTCTCGAACCATTGTATCTATTTGTGATATGTTTTCTCACATATCTGAGCACTTATTAACAATAGAAATAACTATTGTTATAAGTGCATCAGCATATAAAAGATAACCATCAAATTGAAAAGGTATCTTTATGTGAAAGGTTGTAACTCTTAAAGAGGATGGATGCATCCCTGTCTTTATACGATGGAC